AAAATGGGAATTTTAGAATTATGGAATTCTAAAATTAAATACTCGAAAAATAATTAATTGAGAATTAATTATTATTTAAATAATGTGATTATTTAAATTTGAATTTGAATCATGAATATAATTTAAATTTATCCTTTTAAACTTATTTGATAAGTTATTCAATTTAGAATTCAAATTAATTTAAGTTTGACTTAAATTCGAATTTGAATTTGAATTGAAATTGGACTATAGGATAAATAATGATTTTCTCTTCCTTTCCTATCTGCAATTGGTGCCACACACAAGGATAAAAACCCTAGGGTTGGCTGGCCACTTAAGGATTAGGTAGACGAGAATTTTTGTTCAAAATTCAAACAGGAGAGAGAGATTTGTTTCCTTCTAGAAGTTGGACTTCTACTCTATAAATAAGGGATGATGAAAAATTGCGTGTGACGAATTTTTTAACCTAATTAATAAGGGCTGGCCGAATTCCCTGAAATAGAGAGAGAAGAAAATTTTTTCTCCCAAAAATTTAACATCGTGCATGCGTTGGTGTTTGTGTAAATTTGAGTGTTTTTGAAACCTGTTTTGTCTCACGTGTGCCCACACATACGTCTACGTGGAATCAAGGAATTGACGTGGAAGACTTTGGTTTTCTAAACACAAAGATTGGAGCAAGGATTGTTCGTGGTCAAAGTACTCAAGTTATGATCCTAGTCGGCCTCCAGGTATTTTTCCTAATTGAGTTCTTGATATATAAATTAATGTGATTAATTTATTCGGGCATAAATTAATATAATCTATAGAGTATCTCAAAAGTTTTATGAAAATTTTTGTTATACACGATCCGCCTCCCCGCCACACTTCCGCATCCGAATTCGATTCGGTTTCCAACAACATATACATCACATAATCAAGTAACATAAATGTACTATGCACAATTATTATGGTGATACAGGTGATATTCTACTTACCTCGCACCGTATGACAGAAAGTATGACTTCGGGGTTCCTCTTGGTAGATCCGATGTGAACAACTGTAATGTTGGGTATTTCAATGTACTATCATTAGTTTTGTGATTAATGACTTTGTTCCTTCTCTAATAACTCAAACTATAGCCTAAAATGGCTCAACAAATTACACTTTTCATTTAAAGCCTCTACAAACACCCTTTTTCTAAATTTTCCATAACTTAAAGATTTTACTTAAAAAATATTCCACTAAAAAGAGTCATTTGGGTGAAAATAACAAATTTTGGTAAGATATGTCAAAAATGTCCAATTCAAACTTAGAACAGCCTAAAATGACTAAAAATCAGGAAAAACGGGTCAAAAATCCAATTTTGGTGCATACTTGGCTTAACCGTGCGCGCAGGTAGGCACCAACCGTGCGCACACAGCACGCACAGGGCTGCACAGCACGCGCAGGGCTGCCAGTACCCCATGCTGTGCTCACAGGGGCTGCCAGCACCCCACTAGTGCGCTCCCAGGGGCTGCTGCAACATGTTGGGCGCCTACAGCATGTTGCATGGTGCGCCCAGCCACCCCAAAACGACCCAAATGGCCACTAAACCCCTCCAAACCATTTTTT